AGAAATAACTCCCCGATTAGCAAAGTAGCACTCTACAAGTGAAATCACTGGAGCGGAGAGAAAAGATACGGAATCTGCGAGGGAAAAATAAATACTCTGATATAACCTGGATGAAGTGCAGAATGAAAGAAACAAGCTTAATTTATATTTGATGATTTGTAGTCTGATGACACGGCTCACTGACAATTTTAGCTGAGCCAGGGAAACGTTTAAGAATGCACCAAGTCCACGTTCCGAGTAAAAATTGTCATGGCTACAATGACAGGGGACTAAGGAAAATGTGCATTCATCTAGGTCTCTCCGACGAAACGGCCAAGTTACGAAAGTGAGATCAAGTATCTTCAGTAAATATAAGCCATCATGTCAAAGACACTCACCTGATGGAAAAGAGATGATTTGGCAGTATGGCAGATTTGATTTGGAGTAGGTTGATCCTGATGAGAATAATCTTGAATAGAGTTTACAACGTTTGCAGCATTATTCAAAGTTGCAGCATAATGACAGTGTTGAAGAGGTTGTGGCCTACTTGATAGGCATGAGTCCGAAGGGTTTGTGGAGTATTGATTGCTTTGGACAGAATCTGTAGCTGTTCTAGGATAGAATGTGTAAGATGCAGATGAGATCAAACCCCCTGAGGCGAAAGCGTCTTGATCTGACTGATAATTGAATGAACCTATATGAGGTGTCGATAATGTAGAGAATCTCCAATTGGCCGGTATTTGCTGATTTGGTTGATGCAATTGATGCAATGGTTGCTGATGATTTTCTGATATGGAAGGATATACAGAGGCTGAGGGTTGTGGAATAAGGGATGCTGAGGGATAATACATAAGAGGAAGAAAAAACTGTTCAAAGTTCTTTCGATTCGAGTTTGCGCATAGGCTGTGGTCTCCCGAACCGCCCTCAGCTGCCAAAGATCCAGTAGATAGAATCGGTTGACCTGAGTGGTTCGTAGCAATAGAGCTTTGCTGAGAAATAGCTAAACCATTTACGTTTCCATTGCGGTCGCACAAATAAGTAGAATGTGAACCAGAACCATTCGTATTCATAGAAGGTAATGGCAAACTTGGTGATGTCTCAGTAAGAATGGTGTCACTAAAGGTGTAATTATCAAAAGGAGCAGTTCGGTGACGATTATTTTCAATGTTGAATAGGTCAGTCGAATTGGAGTCAAGTCGAAAACGGGCATCAGACAACTTCTCTTCAGTAGACCGTGCCTCACAAGCTTGTTGTGCAGCCTTTCTGTAAAAAGTGAACCAGTGACGAGCCAGCTGGAAATGGATCTCTGGAAGGATTCCATAAGGCGAATGGTTCGCGCCACGCTCAATGCAGACCAGCCCGCGCTCTAGGGTTGCTGAAGAGTGTTCTTCACATTGAGCCAGAGCACGATAGATCTCATGTGGCTTAAGGGTTGCACAATCTGTCAGACTGGCCAAGCATAGCTCAGCTGCAACGTCAACCATCTGCAAAATATAATTAGGTGATGATAATGAAAACTCGATAAAATAAAGTGATGAACTTAGTCATCATCTCGGAATACTTTTGCTTCGATGAAAATTAAATATTAAAATTGAGTCATGGGTAATCTTACAAATATGAGCCTATCTAAAAATTGTAAAGTATTAGTTAATTTCATATTTGATAAAACTTAGCTGTTTTTAATAATCTGCATTTGCTAAATCAGGTCTATAAGCATGGATGCCCCATAGTTATTTCCTGTGTAAGATCGTAAACGGGATAAAATCAAATTCGGAAGAACGATAGTCGATATCCTCCTGTAATTCCGCCTTTGTCCCTGTTTTTAACCAACCAATCCAGTTTAACAAATATCTATGCTCATTAATTCCTGTCCGTGTTTGGTTGGCTTTCATTTCGTTTAAAATGTGACGAGGAGATTGCGGGCTCGATTTAACCAGAAGACGATGGCAGAGTTCGCTTGGTCTGTTGTCATTTAGTTTTGCCTGGAATTTCAGGCTGACATCCCTCAGGCCGTTGAGGTACCATCCTTCAATTCCGAAGAAAATGCGCTAAGCTTTCATTTACTATATGACAGGCATCATCTCGTACTCAAGCAGTAAACAAAACTTATTGAATAGTCTTACCTATATAAATAAACTCAAAGTCAAGTAACAGGAAGTGAAGTTCTATACTTCACGATGATGCACATATTTGTATGTGTTTATAAGTATATGTGAAAGAATGTTCGAAACGACAGGGGAAGCAATAATAAGTTAACACTGGTACTATAAATGGATTATCCATTACATTTCGGGACGTTTTTGGAATTGACTTCGCTTGAGCGAAGGTTAGCAAAACAGCCGGCACAGAATAGGAACGATTATAGGAAATTGAGCGGAAACTTCATGTGACCGTTGGACATAAGTAGGCTTGACGAGCTCCAAATTTGGTTGGGACTCTCAAGCATCATACAATTTACAAGTATTATTTGCAAATAACACAAATGCAGGCAACATAATTACATATATCAATATTACAGGATAAAAAGTATAAGTGATTGAGGTGAGTATACTGCTGTCTGATAACAAGCATATTCCCCTTACACATCGTCCAAACATATATCCATGCTATCCAAATCCAATTCACTTACCTGTAAGTTCATAAGGAAAGCTAAAAATGATAGACCAAACCTAAGGGTCCTCAATTCCTGTCCTCGATTATGCCATATTCGAGGATTTAGAACAGATGATGTCCATGCCCATGCCAGTGTCTTGGAGTTCCTCTCCCATGACTCGGTTATCCTCTCCGCCATCTTCACCCACATTGTTTATCGTTTTTGGGTCCCTGTGTCAGGCGTAGATTTTAACCACTGGCGTGAAAATGCATTGCTTTTTTTCCCCTAAAATTGCAAAAAGCACACTCATATCGTCCTTCAAGTTGACATTCACATCTAATCCAGGGTACCACGATGTTTATATTTGTTGGCTGCCATCCCCACTTCTTAAGGCCCCAACACGAAAAATCCACAAAAGCAGTCGCACACACTCGTGACCTATATCTGGTCCATCTATACCTTTATCCTTTTTAATTTGGTATCCTACGACTCAGAGATAGAGACCCAGGATAAATTTTTGTCCAATTCAATTCCTTGATTTCCCTTGGTGATTTCCTCCTCCTATTGAGTTTTTGTCCTGGGTCCAAGCGTCTTCTTTTCGATGTCTTCGCTGGATCTCCAAGCCTGTCCAGGCAGTACGCGAAATAATCGCTGACTTCTAATCCCTTGTTCATCAGGTTTCTTTGGAAGAGTATGTCCACAGTCCCCTGATTTCCCGTTTCTTGATGTTTTACCCATATGAGGTAAGTCTTTTCAAACATTCCAGCCAATTGTTTACAGTCCTTGCAATTTATGATGTATACTCCGGAGCACCCAATTTGTTGACTTGCTCATTTTGGTTAGGCAAGCTGAAGAAGGGGTTTGTCCTTTCCTGCAGGATTGTACGAATATTCCATTTCCATAGTATCCACAGTGGTTTCCGAGCCAATTCACAGGATAATAGACATATCCATCGTTTTTCCTCTGTTCCTCTTGCTTTGATTTCATAATCTCCGTCCTCACGTCTGTTGATCATCATCCGTATGCTGGGTCCTATTGCTTATTCTGGATATCTGTTTCGGAGAAACGTCTAGTCCCTCTCCCCAGAACTCAAAATGTTTATGTCATAGGCTTCTTATTACCATAATCCAGGTTATTCCAATAGGTATTGCGTTCAGTCATCCCCGAATGCAATTTCTTTGGAAATTTGTTTCTTGAGTGTTTCCTCGCAGTGAATGATCTCCACATTCTAAAAAGGCAGGTGCCTCACTTTCACATTCATGCTAAATTTGACTTTTTCTATCAATTTCGTTTATCAATGCCAGGAAATCTTCTTATTTATCTCTTTCATGCGACTAGATTGCAAAGTGGTCATCCAAATTTCATGTAATTACTGTTGGCTGCTGAGGATGTGTTTTGAACTTCTCAAACTTGTCCACGAAGACACCAATTAACAGAGGTGAGAGTCGTGGGCCCATAGGCAGACAAAATATTTACACAGATGGGACCGTTGAACATGGAATAGGTTGAATAATAAGGTTAGAGACTCTACGGATTAGCTCCGTATCCAGGATGTCATCTTCTTTTTAAAAAGATCTTCAGTATTGCCACGAATGCTTTTTCTCCTGTGATATTAGAGTACCTGGACTGTACATCAAAGCTAAACAAAAGTTCGTTCCTTTCCAAACTGGTGCCATTTATTCTTTGGCAAAATTCGTATTTGACCTTGTTTTCGCAATTTGGTCATATTAGCAGGTAGACTTCAGAGAAGTCCATAGTATGCATGATTGTTTCCAGAGTCAGATCGTGGACTTGGTGCGTTTCCAGACGTTGCCCCGACATCGTAGTCGGCATCATCAGTGAGTCCTGCCATTCTCAGCAATCAAGCTACAACTCGTCAAAGAGACAAGTGAAATCTATTCTTTGACCAATTTTCAGTCGAGATGGTTGTGCCATCACTCCTTCTATCCTGGTTCCTCTATCCATTTCTTACCATATAGTCTCGCCCTCGTCCTATCACAACTTCTACGAAAGATGTGTCCTTTTGGTGAATTTACCATGGCGTTATCACGCCTGTTGTTTGTCTTGATCCCCTCTCTTCGGAGTGGCTGATTCGACTCTAGCCTCCTGTCCGGAATCACCAATTTCACTCAGTTCCAGACCCAGTGTATTTTTACTCCAGGTGATATTTCTCAAGCCTTCAGTAGGACGTCCAAGGTCGCCTCATCTGCAGAGCGCCTAGGCTATGAATCCCATGATTGCGGATATTAGCTATTACCTTCACGCATCATCTCCTAGATTAAGCCCTGAGAAAAGAAGGGACATCTATCTATGGTCGCCTGCTACATCTCAAATGGATTATTAGTCAATTTGGTCATAATGCTTATTTTCTGTGACCCAATCTCTCTCCCTAGTCACATAAAATGTCGAGTCTCCCAAGTTGTAGTTGTTTATTCGAACTGACTACACTCAGTGAAAACGTCTTCCCTTCATTTTCGAAGCTTCCTCACCTTCTTCTTCCTTAGAATCCATTTTATCCAGGTTTGCGATAGATCCCTGATCCATGCGTCTCCTTTTTGCTGTCTTGTTGCATCCCTGTTTTCTCCGATTTTGATTAGGCAATTGGCAAAGTTATCACTAACTCTGTCTTCGTACAATCTCCTGTTCATTAAATGTTCCCTCCAAAGACGTTAATGACCTCCCTAATATTCCGTTTCTTTATGCTTTCACTGTAAAGAGCCATTCTTTCTGTTGCCTTCCAATTGATCTCATGTTCAGTCTGCGATAAATTCCGCTATATTTGATCTTTCAGTATCTATTTTCCTGCAGAGCCTTTGGTATTCCTTGATTCATATGCTGATTTTTCTCGGAATTTCGCCAATATATTTATTTTGGCAGGCGCCGCATGCTATGCAGTAAGCTCCCGAGCAATCCAATTTGTCTACTCTCTCATGTTACGTGGGTAGACTTGTGAAGTGTAGTTTTTTTCATTGTAGTCACCTGAATATTCCATCTTCGTTCTAGTTTGCAGGAAAGAAGACATTCACTTTTGTGAGTCTTTCTCTTTCTTTCATTATCCTTGTCCTGCTCTTCACGACCATTCTATGGAAATGGAACATTCGTAATATGCTAAAGAGAAGGACAACCCTATTTTCCCAATTATAGCGACATACTCTAAGGCGACATTGGAGGAAACGAGAGCACAGAATTGTGTGAATAAGAGGGGGTTGAGAGATAGAGATGTAGAACTATAAGGTAGAATAAAAAATAGAGCAGTGATACAACAACGGTGGACATTTTTCGTATGTGTATCTTAATGAGAGATGATAGATGACGTCTGTCCATGGTGGATACCAACGAACAGACATATGAATAACGTCCTAAAACACTAGAATAAGATTACATAATCAATGTGAGGGGAATGCGTTTTTCAATATTTAAGAAGAGATGAAGGGAAACAGCGCCTTTTCAGGTCAGCGGTTATGAATTAAGCCGTGTTCAGGGCCCCAAAGAATGAGACACAATGTAGGTGGGAGGATAATCGAGCTATGGGTTTAAATCCTAGGGAGAGGAAGAGTCCAAGGCACTGGGATGTGCATAGGCAGCACCTGCTCTAAATCCTCATATATAAAGTAATCGGGGATGGAAATCAAAGACTTTTAGGCAAAAAGATTTCAGACAGTGATTTTGATATTAGCAGTGGCCAATTGAGAAAAGGGATAAGGAGGAATGAAGGTCAGGAGTCGGGAACCGGTGATAAAGATGACGCTTCACTATACACACTTGTAAACATACACTTTTAGGCAATATAGGAGGAAAAAAGATCTCATTATTGTCTCTTTGACGAGTTGTAATATAGTGCTACGAATGGCAAGACTCAGTAACGATGCCGGCGAAACGTCTGGGAATGTTCCACGTCCATGGTCCTACTATGGAAATGATGATGCATACAATGGACTCCAGACTAGGTGCGTTCCTCTAAGACTTCCTACCAATATGACCGAGGTGCGGAAACAAGGTCAAGCAACTTCTATTGAAAATAAAGTTGGAATTGCTTACACTAGTCACTTTGATAAGTTGCAACAACTTTTTATGATAGCATATCTTAGTGACGATGCCAGCAAAACGTTTGTGAATGTACTAAGTTTATAATCTGATGCTGGAAATCACGAATACTATGGCAAAGGACTCAGAACCAGGTACATTCCATAAATTCTAACTGACGCTGTTGCGAAAAAGTGGTCACATTGACATTGTAAGGCTAAAGCAGACTGAACAAACAGAAGATTACACCATCTTGGTTGTCATAATTACTATATAATCCGTTAACTTTCCTTGAGCGACCTGGGGATACTAAGTAATTTTTCAAAAAGAACAGATAGCTCTAAATACTGCTTATGAAGAAAATATCATCCACGAAAAGTTACATACGGTGAAGCCGAAAATGTGCAATCAGTTTAGTAATTTATTCCAAGATATGAACACCAAGATGGTGAAGCCTTTTGTGTGGTCGCAGTCTCCTTTCGTTGTATAGAAGGTGTTTGACCTTGTTTTCGAAACTTGGTCATATTGGTACGAATATTTAGAGGAACGCACCTTGTCCTGAGTCAATTGCATACATAATTATTTTCAGAGTTGGACCATGGACGTGGTACATTCGCAGACGTCGGCATCGTCAGTGAGTTTTACCAGTCGTAGCACAATATTACAACACGTCAGAGACAAGTGAAACCGATCCTTTGACCAAACGTGTGCTAGACAATAATGGTATCTCCTTTTGTGCCCTGGCCTACTCACATTTCCTATATCCTCCTATCACGCCGTCGCCGTCACAATTTTTTACTTGCTTACTTAAATGTGGTACGGTTTGCCCTTTTTTAGCGGCTTTCATGAGAACCCTCCGCAGTACACACTGGCCTTCTCACCCCCTTCATCCTTGTGCAGGAAATGCTAATCAGAGTCTGTCAAACTGTTAAGCCGTCCTCCCTCCATAGGTATTAACACAGTCTCTCCTTGCCGCGTAAGATCCGTCTGCCCTTTCCCTGGTTCACATATTTCACTCGACCCCT